CAGACTCTCCCCAACTTTCGAGAGTAGGAGGATCTCGAGCTCGGCATGGGGTACGAAGGAGCCGTCCTTCCCGTTGTAATCCCCCATGCCGTAAGCCGCGAGAATGGACTCCTGGTGTTCGATGTGAGCCATCAACTCTGCTTTTGACTCGCATTGACAAAGGGTCACTCTCGCTACGTCCCTCGGGAGTGCATGGAAGGAACTCTTTCTCTCGTGGTCCTCCCTGGGAGCCAAGTGAACCGATTTCTCGAGGGGTGAAACCGCTTGCTCACTCTCCCTTCGACGCTTAATCTCGGGCTCTGAGTCATGTCTGGAATCCCTTTCTCGGCGTAGCTCATGGATGGCATCCATGAGGTTCCTGGCAAATCTGTCCTGCTGATCGAGGAGCTGCTTCCTCAGCTCTCGCTGCTCCTCGACCAACCTCTCTATCGCTTCCTGGAATGACTCGCCAGGTGTCTCTCCCCTGGCTGGCCCCTGGGTCCCATGGTCGCTCGCATCGTCAGATTCTTCTCCAAGCGACACGAAGCCCTCGGGACGCTCTCGAGCCTCGTCAAGTTGCTCCTCCTCCCTCCTCAGCTCTTCCTCGGTAGGATGTTCAGGAGGGGCCTCAAACTCAACTTCCCCCGCGGGGTCGTCATGGCGGTCTTGCTCATGGTGATGCTCTCTACGCTGCCTACGACGGGCCCTCTGTGTGGCGGCATCGTTCCCAGCTCCGGGAGCGTCAGCTCGATCGTGCTCATCAGTTGGGGTATCGTGTGATCTCCCAGGTGTCGCCATGTTGTGCAACTCGACACTAGTAGCCGATGTGATGTGAAAGAAAGAATACTTATTGAACGGTTGGCCTGGTTTTAGCTACGGAAAAATCGATCAATTCACGTGTGCAGGCCACCTTGCACACAGCCTTGTGCGTCACCTTCACGCACCAATCACAGCAACCTGACGATGTGGTCATCTTTCCCAGATGACTCAGCGAAAGAAAATTGATTTGTGACAGAAATAGCTGATAATAATATCAGTAACCATGCCATCTATGAATGTAAAAAGACATGCATAGAGAGCATGAAGAGACATT